TTGCAAGCTAATCATTTTTCTCCAAATATTCTTCAAATTCAATTACAATATTTTATTGATTTTTAAGACAAAGTTTTTCACACTTATATCTGAAATTGACAGGCATCTTATAATCACTTTGGTAGGGTAGTATCCATGACATATTTGTCATTACATGTTTATTAAATCTGAAGAATGGTTATCAGCGTCTTGGAAAAAAAATCTGGAGATAATAATGGATGCTCATTTAAGAAATGATATATCACTAATGCTCTAAACAGAGAATATTATATGGATAAAACATGGACATAAAGATTCTTGAGTTGAAAGTGAATCAAAATTGTTAGACTTTGAATGTTAAGTTGTAGGAGTACCTCGGTTAAATAATTTTGCTTACATTTTTCTTTCTGTGTATGCACAAGGCTGTTATATGATTTTTTTTAAAAAGGGGCTCTTTGCATAACTATGAAAAATTCCAAGTGACAAAAAGTTGTGTCACAGTTAGGTTGGTAACTTTTTCTTAACAGTACATGAAATAATAATGTAGTTTGTAAGATTGCCTCTCATCTTCATTGAAATACCTTCCTGACGAAAACACTGAATTAATATCAAAATTATTCTTATTCTTTCTTTTAATGTCTTCCACTAAAATTTGATTTAAATAATTGAATAAATAAAAGTATAAGAATCAAGCCTAAGAACCAAGCCTTTGATACAAAGTGATGACAAAAACACTGCTTGATAGAAGTAGCATATTAAAGTAAAGCTCTGCTCTGACTGATCTGGGCTTTGATTTCATTGGGTCCTCCAGTGATATTACTTTGGTCACCAATGTTTCAATACAAAGCATGATTTCTGGCCTAGTCTATTCAATATTTATTATAGACGCTAACTATTTGACAGACACTAGAGATAGCAAGGAGAATAAAAGGCAGACATGGTCCCTGCTTCTTTGTTCAGTATCTGGTGAGGAAGACTGACAATAAATAAGTGACACAAATTAATAATTGTAAGTTGTTATAAACACTGTAAAGAAACAATAGGGAAATGTAAATAAAAATGAACAGTGGAGGACATTCAATTTCAGATAATAACGGTAACTGTGAACACTTACATAGTGCTTACTATGTGCTGGGCTCTGTACTATATGCTTTATATACTCTTCTAATCCTCAAAACAACTCTATAAGCAGATACTATTATTTCCATTTTACAGACAGGGAAAATGAACTTAAGTGATTTGCCTAAGATCATACAAAAAGTAAGTGGGGAGCAGGGATGTCAACTCAGACATTCTGTCTCCAGAACCCTTGTTCTCATCTACTACATTACTGGGAAAGCCTTTCTGAGAAGGTGTCATTTAGGTTGAGACATGAATGATGAGAAAGTAAGTGGCTGGCGAGAGAAATCATGTATAAAGCCCTAAAGTGAGAAAGGAGTCCTTCAGTTTTAGGAAATTAAAGGTGGCCAGTGTGGCTGGAATATAGTTAATGAGAGCAAGAGTGTCAGGAGCTAGGGCTGCAGAAGGCAGGTGTGACCTCATGTAAGATCCTCCAGGACACAAGGAGCTAGGATTTTGTTCTAAGTGCAATAGGAACCTACTGATGACTTTAAACTGGACAATGACATTATCTAATTAAAAAAAAAATCTTTCTAGCTGACCTATGAAGAATGAGTTGAAAGAACGTAAGATAAGCAGAACCCACATCGTCATTTATTCAACAAATATTAGAAAGTTCATAGAGTAGCTATTATTGTGGCAGGTACTACTCTAGATGTGGGGTATACAGCTAAGAGTAGACGTGGTCCTTCACTATGGAGTGCACTTTAGAGTGGTGAAAACATACACACACAACTACCCACATCTCCTACTGTAGTGAATTGAATTATGTCCCCCCAAAACTCATTGAAGTTTGAATTGTGTTCCCCAAGTTTTACTTAGAAACTTAGCCCCTACTGTGACTGTTAAGAGGGTGGGAAATCCTATTATGGTAATTGGAGCCTTGGTAATTGAAGAGGTGACTGGATTGTAGGACCATGCAGTAGTGAATAGATTAAAAATGGTGGTCAGGGGAGTGGTTCTGAGGGCTTTAAAAGAAGATGAGTGTCTTTCTCTTTACTCTCTGCTTCCAACGTGAGATCCCAGAATCACTGTCAACACCACCACATGGACTTTGGACTTCCCAGCCTCAGAAACTGTAAGCAATAAATTTCATTTTCTTTATAAATTACCCAGTCTCAGGTGTGGAGTGTACTGACATTTATGGAGAAAATGTGTTTCACAGGGCCTATTTTCCAAAGCCCTATAGTCTCAGGTTTAGCCTAATCTTTTGGAATTACATATAGAAATGTTAACCTTGCAAAAGACAGGAAACTTTCCTCAAGCTAAAGTCTTTGTAACACAGCAAAGTTGCTGGCTCAAAGACAGACAAGTTACTTGATTGATATGTAAAATACTGGGGGAATTGCTGTAGGGAAAAACAATGTCTGCTAAGATCAAGTTTTTGTTGGTGGATTGACTTAACCTTTTGCAAACTGCATTATGGAATGTCACTTTGCTTGTTCCACTGATGTTACCAGCCTCTACTGCTAAACTATATTTAGCCACAACCCCACCTATGTTCTTTTCCTGTAACTTCCTGGTCTGGAGAATAAATGCAGGGAAAGAACCCCAGTTTGTGGTTAATTTCCAAAGGAAGGAATGCCTCTCTCTTGAGGGTTCTGGGAAATTAACCCCTTTGGGGTCTCTCACTGCTCAGAAGAAATGGGCTTTGAGTAATCCTTTTTGTGGCTCCATCACCCAGGGTAAGAGAGGTGACAAATCCGTGTGAGGCAAAGCAACTCAGGTATTCTGTTATAGCAACACAAAACGGACGAAGACACCTACATCAATAATTTCTTCCACTCTACTAGACATTTTTCATCAGCATGAAAATTCTTGTATCTCCCATCTTTAAACAAACATCAAACAAAAATCTATCCTTTGACCTTTTACCTACCATTCCATTTTTCTATTCCTTAACCCAGAAAAACTTCTTTAAAGAACAATCTGTGGGAGCATCACCTCCAGTTATCATCTCAACCCACTACAATCAAGTCCCTCTCTTTTACCCTTTTAAAACTGTCCTTGGTCAGTGTCACCACATTACCATCTTGAAGTCAAATGCTCACTTCTCTCTCATCTTATTTAATCTCTCAGGAATATAAGGTGTTAACTAGTTATCCCTTTTTGAAACACTTGTCTCTGTATCTGTGCCACAACACTCCTCAGTTTTCCTACCTTGCTGGACTCTCCTCAGTCTAATAACCACTGCACATGAACATGCAAGAAGAACATGCAAGATAATGTACATATAAGTTTTAGAAACATAAAAGTTATATACCAAAATTATAAAAAAAACAGCTCAAAGACAGGAAAGAAAAAGTTGTAACACGATGCTTAGACACACAAAGTTAAAATTGGAGAACTGAATTATGACTAGTAGAGTACCTATTTATTTGACATCTTGTCATTTTCTCGTATTGTAGCTTTATTTATATACGTGCCTTACCTGCCTTGCCAGCTTAGACTATAAGCTCTCTGCAAGTGGTAAGACCTTAAATATGGCACCTGACATAGGCTTTCACTAAATATTAACTGAATTGATATATCACGCCATTAATTCATATTACTGTCCTTTGAGGGTTTGTGTGTGTTCAAAATCCCATCTACTCGCACAGAATTCAAGGGGGCTCATAAAATTACGACAAGTTAATGGAAACAAACATAGATTAAAACAGAATAGAATCCATCGTGAGGAGGATAGAAATAAGCAAGTAATCATGTTAACTGCTACTGCAGCCTTTGGCTGATATTTCCTGGCAGCCAAAAGAAGAAGGGAATTGGCTGAATACCACAGCATGGCATTTAATCTACCACCAAGTCAGCCATTTGCATTCATCTGCAGAGACCAACTTTTCCCGGAATTGGCTGAATACCACAGTATGGCATTTAATCTACCACCAAGTCAGCCATTTGCATTCATCTGCAGAGACCAACTTTTCCCTGGACCAAAACCCACAGGGGACTCTGATCGAGTGGGCTGTCATGTAAAAGCCACCAACAGTCTACACGAAACTATGAAAACAGAGACATACATCAACACGACCCTTCATAAGGTCCTGAGAAAATAACTGAGCAAAGGCACAGAGTAAATCTGAAGGGTCGCGTAAGTTTACTTGGTTCTGCTGCTGTTTAAGGAAGGACCGAATCACTGATGCCTCAACAACAGAATCCTCAGTTTTCTCCCTAAGGATCCGGCCCAAGGTTGACAATCCCAAAACAGCACCTGGGCGTTTTCATCCCGCAGTAAAGGGTCGGCATTAGCTGGCGGCCTCGGGTTCAGGCGGGGCCAGAGCCCCACACTGGGATAGTGTCTTAGGTCGGCCCTCAGTGGAGGGTTTCGTGGTGGGCGGCTGCTAAGGGTAGGGAGTGTCCTGGGTGAGGGTGGGTCTTCAGCCGATGGGGTTGAGGCGGAGGGAGGGAAGCAACTTAGGGCCACCGCGTTGTACAACTCCAGGGGGTACCACGGCGGTCTCCTCCTGGCCGCGGACACCTCTCCCACCCCCAAATATGAAGAAGCGACAGAAGCAGCCGAAGCCAAGGAAATCCTTTTCTCTGTGGGTCGTAAGGGCCAAGTCCTCGGGGATAAGGTGCTACCACCCCACTCTTCCCTTAGACCCCGGAGCTCACCCACCTGCAACTGCAGTCTCCGAAGTCTCTACCCCAGTCTCCTTTGCCTCCAGAAGACTGGTTACGATTGGCTTGCCCGGCTGTCCCGTTAGTTTTTCCGCAAGCGTGAGTGGCGTAACGGTGCAGCTATTGGCCTTGGTCCCTCCCTTCGCCCGCCTCCGAAGGCACGCCCCAATGACGTCACACGATGCCGCAGAGCGCCTTGGCCGGCTTCCGTCTCCGCCCCCAGCCGTTTTCTCCTAGAGGAGGCGGCCGAGACAGTGAGTGCTCTTATGGGAAACGCGCCGTTTACGCAGCGCGACGCTCCGCCCTCCGCGCACACACGCCGGGAAGAAGGGGGTGGGGCCACGTTCGCAGCCGCGCCATCAGTCCCGAGGTGGCGGCCAGGTCCGTGTTCAGTGCATGGTTTTCCCCGCCAAACGGTTCTGCCTCGTGCCATCCATGGAGGGCGTGCGCTGGGCCTTTTCGTGCGGCACTTGGCTGCCGAGCCGAGCCGAATGGCTGCTGGCGGTGCGATCGATCCAGCCCGAGGAGAAGGAGCGCATTGGCCAGTTCGTCTTTGCCCGGGACGCTAAGGCAGCCATGGTACTACTCCAGGTCTTTGGTATTTGGAGCCCAGAAAGCAGATGTTGGGGGAGGTGGGCTTGCTGTAGACACCCCCGTCCCGCCCTGGGGTCGACGACCGCGCTCTTGACCAGTTGTGGCTGGCCCCGGGGCGAGAGTGGGCGTGCTGCCGGGTCTCAGGCGTGCGCACGGCCTGGTGTCCACGGTCTTTGTAAGCGCCTCCGAGGTTCGATTGCTGTAAAAATTAGCTCCTCCCCCGTGTGATAGAAAATAGAGACCTTACTAAACCATAAAATGTGTGTAGGGAAATTTAACAAGCAATTGGTTTTTTTCGTAGTGAATGTTTTTATATTTTTATTTTTAAGTGCTATCAAATTCTATTTTTTCTTTTCCCCGTTTCATAGCCCATTCTTAGTCTGCCTGTTAAATATCCCACTACTGTCCAAGGCCACCCTGCACGCGGTAGGCCCTAGAAAATATTTACAGTATGACTTAGTTTACAAAGCCTTGCGCACCGTAGGACGGGAAGAGGTCTAAACCAGCTGCCTTTTACCAGTGAAATTGGAGCTCAGGGAGGATACAGTCTTGAGCATACCTTCCTGACTAGATAGCTTGGGAAACAGTATTTTAAATAGGTTTTTTAATTTGCTATATATTTTTAAGCAACAAATGGAAAGTTGGATTTCAAAATAAATACCTCTACTATATGAAACAACCTTTAATTGCCATCACTTCAAAGATAGTTGTTTCTTGAAAATGTCCCTATACTGAAAGACCTTTCTATTTGAAACGTGGGCTAGTTGATAATGTTTTGCGGGCATATTGATGAATAGTTTTTACACTTTCAATTTTAATTTGTAAGAAATTTTGAAATGAGTGAATTTCAGAGTCTTGAAGTTTTTAAAAATCAGCGTTAGAACTAAAGGAGAAAAAACCCTGAGAGATATTTTTTTAAATGTTATATACTTTGTCATCTTATATCCTCAGGGTTCTTTTGTGTGTTTTTAGTAATTTCTTTATTAATTAATGGAGGTGGGAGAGAGTAGAACAAGATAACGCCATGCCTTGCTAATTGTTGAAGGTGAGCCATAGATATGCAGGATCTAAAAATACTTGCACGTATGTACAGATGTAGGCAAGGTAGGGCTGCTCACTGTAATTTTTTGTAACAGCAAATCTAGAGCCAGCCTAAAATGTCCAATAATAGGGGAATACTCAGTACCCCTATTGTACATCAATACTGTGAAACCTGATTGCTGCAGTTAAAAGTGCACAGACAAGATGGGTATGTACAGATATGAAATAATCCCTAATACTTCTAGATTAAAAAGTTTATACATGGTAGAATACTACATATAATATGATCTTATATATGTGTTTATTTATGCGTAGCGTTAGCAAAAACATGCAGATGTACATATATTTAAATGCTTAAAAGACTGGAAGGATGCCTGCTGTTAACATTGGTACTGGTTAAGGGGAAGAAATTGCTAAGTGGAACTTTATTTAAACTTCTTTCTACTTAGACATTGCTTAAATCTTATTGTACTATATTTAATACTGAGGTACTTTAAAAACTTAAAAATGAAAATTTTAGAAACTGCAAAAATATACTTTGTATGTTACAGGCAATGTATCTGTATCTTTAGTAGATGTTGATACATACCACATGTTTTACGTATTTAACAGGCTGGTCGTCTGATGATAAGGAAATTAATTGCAGAGAAATTGAATATCCCTTGGAATAATATTCGTTTGCAAAGAACTGCAAAAGGAAAACCAGTTCTTGCAAAGGACTCATTGAATCCTTACCCCAATTTCAACTTTAACATCTCTCATCAAGGGGACTATGCGGTGCTTGCTGCTGAACCCGAGCTACAAGTTGGAATTGATATAATGAAGACTAGTTTTCCAGGTAGTATTGCATTTTTGTAGTATTGAATTTAAGTGTCTTGATGTCTCAGTTCTTGTCTATTGAGTAATCTCATGCCAGAGATGTGTTATAGCTATTCATGTTTAGGGGAAATGTGCTCAATATTGAAAGATAATGTATCTGAAAGGCATATTTTCTTGAAAATTAAAAGACTTCTACATAAATAGTAGATTCTTCTTTACTGGGGATCCATGTAATGCTTTGCCTGTTGGCAAAGCGAAATATAAAGATTTTCTTTTTGAATTATACCTCAGCTCGTTTCACTTGAGCATTTTCCCATGATTCATCAGTAGATTGTTGGTTGTTTTAAAAAATAATCTCTGGTAAAAAAATTGTAGTCCTTATAGACATAATATTCGTGCTATATCTAAATACAGCTGCTTTTAGCACATTTATATGAGTAAAGATGAAGATCAAGCATTACGAAAATATTTCAATTACTTATATATTGCCTTAGAAGTTTATTATTGGTGGCTTTAGGAACTTCTGACATTTATTGGGGGTTGAGTATACCTGGGCAATTTTAATATTTACATACTAAATACAGGTTCTCTTAACTGCTCTGTAGTTGTTATCACTAACATTTAGTGAGCACTTATTACATGCCACAGCATTTTACTGTGTGCCTTACGTTTGTTCTCTGATATAATTTTCTCTATGATGAATATAGTAATATTTTTATCAGAAGATAAATTTGACAAAGCTATTAATAAGAGAACCCACATCTTCCTAAGTTTTTAGTACAATTGCCTAATATCAGCCATAGCATCTTTGCTTATGTTCTATCAATCTGGAAGGCCTGTATTTCTCTCCTGCCCCCATTTCTGCATAGGTGACTCTTATATACGGGTTAGATTTCACCTCAACCTTACTTTTGTAAGCCTTTTGTGAACCTTTAATCTAAGCTTTTAGTTCTTTTTTTGTAGACCCTCCTAAAATGTATCTCCTTTATTCCTATAACATATCTCAATTTATTATTATTCATCAGGATGATTGTCTTTCCCTTGGTGCTTATAAGCTACATGACAATAGGAACCATGTTAGTTATGTTAGATTTTGATCACTAGTGCTCAATAAATATTTATCAAATGAAGAACAAAAACAGTGTTTCTAAAGTGTAGGCTTCAGAGTATGCCTGTGAATCTCATCTCCCTTTTGTTTTTATTGTGTTAACCTTGCATTTTACCACCAGTTACTCTTTCTCTGACTTGGTCATAAACTTTTCCATTACAACTCTCTTCTCTAGTTGGCTCAGAAGGAGGCTCTAGTTATTTTGGAAACATTATAGTGGGTTCTTGACCTAGTGTATTAGCTGGTTTCTGTTGCTTATAACAAAATACCTGGAACAGGCTAATTTATTAGAAAATGAAATTTATTGCTTTCAGTTTCAGAGGCTGGGATGTACAAAGTCCAGGGAGCACATCTGGTGAAGGCTCTCTGGTGGTGGCTTTACAGCAGTGCAGGGGGCTCACATAGTAGGAAATGGCAGAGCAGAGAGAGGCATAGTTCCTCACGTACTCTCCTTTTAAAGCCCTCAGAACCATGCCCACCATCACCATTAAACCATGAATTTAATCACCTCTTCAAGGCCCCACCTTTCAATGACCATAATAGGATTTCCTGCCCGTAACACTTACAGTGGGAATTAAGCTTCTAATATATGGACTTTGGGGGACAGAATTCAATCAGTCCATAGCACCTCGACTCCATGGATAAGCTTCAAGGCATTTTTTCTTTTAACCTGAAATTTTTTACTACATTTTGTATGAATGTGCATATATGTTTTCCTCAGAAAAGGGTCTGGTATTCAGCAGGGTCATGGAAGACTTATTCTAAAGAACCACTGCTATAGAAGATTCAGAGTGAGCATGGGAATGAAGCCATATGTTTTTATAGCTTTTTGCTGTCCTTACATGAACCTTTCCTAAAATCAGAAATCAACAGAGTCATTACTCTTTAGAATGCAGTCAGCAGAACTGCACAGTAACAGCTGGTACACAGTTGGTTGTATCTACCTGGAAATATGATGACAGTGAGAAACAGATTTTCTTATTAATTGACTTGATGGGCAATGGCTGTGGTCAATACTGGGTAAACAAATAATTTACTAATTGAAGCTTTTAATAAATAATGAGAAGATAGTGAAGTAAAAATTGAAGATTCAGTTTCCTGTTAATCATGTTTTATTAGAGCTTTTTTCCTCCAGCTCTTTTGATTGATCTTATTTGACTAATCACAATATCTAAGCCTTTTCCTTTCCTTAGACTATTTCATTGCCAAAAAGCTGTTGCTGTGCCCAGTTACACTTAGGAGAAGAGATATTTTCCAGTTGTCACTAGGATTGTTACCATGCCACTAATTTCTGAGGTATGAATGGACACAGTGTGATTTCTTAGTGAGGGTGGGAAGTAGACACTGGTTTGCTTCATTGGCAATTCATTTGAGTGAATGATTCAAATGAATGATTTATTTAAAAAAAAAAAAAATATATATATATATATATATTTAATGACTGTAGAACTCAGTTTATTACACAGATTTTAATCATTCTTGAATGTACAAGCTCCAGAGGAGCATCTAGATCTTTAAATATACACAAATATTTCCATCAAATGAATTTTCACCCTTATATCCAAATAGATCTAAGAAGTTGAAAACATACAAATAAGAGCTATTTGCTGTTTATTAATTGAGAAACCACATACAAACCAAAAAATATGGAAGAGAGAAAGAGAAGCTGAAAGGATGAAGGATAAAGAGGTGGGGAGATGTGAAAGAGTTGGGAACAAAGCCCATCACACTTTGTGTACTAATAGTTCCAATCCATTTAAATGTTGACCAGTTAAACTTAGACCTTAAAATACAGGATGCGGGTAGACTTTAATTTGGTTGGGCGTAACTTTCACCTCCAGTGTAGATCCTTTGGAATAAAACATGTACAGAAACAGCTTCTACTTACCAGAGTAAGTGAGGAAATCGAGCAAGGCATGTTCCTAAGAGTCTTGCTAATTGATGAAAGATAAAACTTAGAGTAACAGAAATGGAAGTGCTGTACTTGGTACTGGGTGTTGTGACTAGATTGTCAGCTTTCATGACAGAGTCAGCTTTTGTGGGGCATCGTTAGTATATTGAAAGAGTCAGTTCCATCATTCCTATCTTGTATCTGCAGGTAAGCATCATGTAGAAACTCAGGGAGTCTTTTTCCTTCTTGTTGCATTAGCCATTTTTACTAAGTGCAGCTCATTTCCCTCCTTCTTCCGGTTCTCCCATTGCTGCTATGGCAGTACAAGAGAAAATATTGATGGATCCATTCTTTCTTCAAGTTGCATGCCCACTATTAAGGAAATTATTGCAACCACCACTTTATTCTCTGCTTAATGAAGAAAGTAACAGGAATCTTATACAAAAGTAACTGGTACTTAGTCAGCACTCAATATATATTTGTTCAGTGAATGTCCAGAGAAGAGGGTTTATATGATAGTGGGGTCTTAGTATAGCTATACTGCTAGTGCAGTACATTCTGAACTCTGGGGAGAATGGTGTTTTCCTAGTCATCATAATTTGCTGCCTTCATTAAGGAGATTCTGGTTGGTTTTTCTTTCATTTTCTAAGTTTTATCTGCTGTTAAAGGTATTTGTAGTTGTAAGTATATAAAGAAAAGATAGTTTTATCAAGTGTTCTATTTTGTTACTTTATTTACAAAAACTAGGCAAGATACAGTATAAAAATTAGGATTTAAATTTGGGAAAAGATCAAACATTTTTCCCCATGGTTTTACATTTTCATGTTTATATTTTTATTAGGACAAAATAACATAAAATATTTTGGGATTCAATACTAATTTTAATTTCATCAATTTGAAATGACTATATTATGGAATTGCTCTCTAGAATAACTATTAAATAGTAAGTATAAATTAAGTGCAGTAAGTGTAAATTGTGTTGGTATTATATGATAGCTAGTAAGGTGACAGAGCTTATTTCTTGTCTCCTTCTACTGTATCATCTCTCCTGTAGTATTTAATACTTTCCTAATTGATTCCCCCTTTTCACTTTTGTCCTCGACCAGTAAGTACATTCTCAGAGTAGAGTGGTTTTTCGAAATATCTATGGCTGTTTTCTTAAAACTCTTAAGTTGATTCTCATTGCTCGGAGAATAAAATCCAAGCCTCTTAATATGACCCTGTCGTCTTATTCTCATCACCCTTTCCATTCTCTTATCTCTCTGCCACTCTCATTGCAAACTGCTCTCTCTGCTCACTATTTTCTGTCCACACTGGTCTTTTGTTTCCTTGAATGTAGCAAACTTTCCTGTTCAAGGTCATTTCAGAAGTGCTGATGATCCCTCTGCTTATTCTCCCCACACTTTTCTTGACTACCTGAGACTTGAAGTCTCCTCAGAAAGGACTTTCCTAACCACCTGATCTTCTTTTCCTTTATAGCTCTTCTCATTTGTAATTACAACTTAATTACTGGATTATTTATTATCTGTTCTCCCTCATGGAATGAGTTTAGGAACCATGATTGTTTTGTCATTTTCACTACAGTATACCTAGTACATAGCAGAGTGTCTAGTACATAGCAGGTGTTCAATAAGCCGTTATTGAGTGTACGAATGATGCAGAGGAGTTCAGGGGACCTCTCTCCTCAATTCCTTTTAAAATATTTCTTAAATTTGTTGAAAAATGAAAAGCTATAAAATCACAATGAAAAACTATCTAGTCATATCACATTCTAGTTGGAATATAAATTATTCTCATTAGTGAGTTTTGATTAAAAAGTTCTTTTGAGTCTTCTTCCTCACTTCTTTATCTACCTAGCTGCTTCTCTTCTCCATTTTCATCCACCTTAGATTCTCTTTTCAGCTTTTTTGCTGCTGCAGTCTGTTCCACTATCATTTGTGTCTAGGGAGATCTGCATTCTTCTAGGTCTGCATTTTAGTTAGAGCAATTTTTTTTAACCTTGGAGATTTAGAATCTGTAA